TTAAGGGGCTCTCCCCAACCGTGAAAAGTACCGCGACTGGTATCGCCAGTGTTGAAAGGCATTAGGAGATAGATAACAGCTTATAGCGCAGAGAAGTAACGGAAGGCAATAAAGAAGTGAAAGACGAGGTGTATGGGTGGGTATTTTGTGTCCTTGTGTGTAGTATACATATGTCAAATTTGTTAAAAGATTCGCTCCAACCAGGGAGCCTTTCTTCTATTTCTCTAACAGATGTAGATAACTATACTGGACTCATATTTTTGCAAAGATATCGAAATAGACAGAGACTTCTACTTGAGAGAGAAATGGTTCTCTACTTCAGTTTGAGATGAAAGTCTGGATGAACTCCCAAAAAGGGATTAGCCAATGAATCCAGCCACACATAAGGTTAGGGAGCTAATCCCGGTCAGGACTAGCGCACAGGAACACAACGCTGATGAATCTCACTTTAGTTCTCCATCAATCTTCCTCTTGACGGACGCCATACCAACAAGTGGCCCATTATGTTCAACTACGGAACGGACGAGGATCTCCAGGACAAGGTCTATATCCTTGTCACTGGCGCAAACAGGTATTGCATCCCTCTACCCGCAAGTCCCAACCCATCTCCCGCACCAACCAACCCCTATATCACGTTCAGCTTCCTGACTCGATCTACAGTGGTCTCGGATTCTCGATATGCTGTCGTCTAGTCGATGAATTCCTCAGCTCTCCTCAACGCACAAACCAATCCCTAACCCTCATCTTCACCACCCGAAGCCCCAAGAAAGGGAACGACACCCTCCTCCGCCTCCAGGACCATCTCCGCAAAACCTCCGCAACACCCGCCCCCACCAGAAAGGTAAACTTCATCCCGGAGAGCGTAGACCTAAACAACCTCGTCTCCGTCCGCGCCCTTTCCCGCCGCCTGAACGATGAATGCCCCAAACTCGACGCTATCGTGCTCAATGCCGGCATTGGCGGCTGGTCAGCCCTGAACTGGCCGCGAGCCATCTGGGGCATCTTCACCGACCTCGTCCACGAAGTTTCTTGGCCCTCATACAAGATCGCCCCCGCTGGCATGGTAACAGACTTTCAGACCACAACGCTAGCAGCCCAAGAGCCCCGTCTGGGCTCCGTCTTCTGCGCAAATGTGTTCGGCCACTACATGTTAGCGCACAATGTCATGCCCTTGCTGCGACGGTCAGGACAACCCAATGGCCCCGGCCGCATCATCTGGGTCTCAAGCATAGAAGCCACGGTGAAGATGTTCGACATCGATGACATCCAGGGTCTCCGGACTTCAGTGCCTTACGAATCTTCCAAGGCGTTGACCGACGTCTTGGCGCTAACGGCCGATCTCCCCAGTACCAAGCCCTTCGTGAAGAGTTTCTACTCCGTCGACGACAATAGAACATATAACAGTGGATTTGGAAGACCTAGAATAACTAATGATGATAACTCGGCCCCGAATACGTACCTCTCTCACCCCGGGGTCTGTGGTACGAGTATCATGCCGCTCGCCTGGCCGCTCTTTTACTCAATGCTTGCTGTCGGCTTCCTTGCCCGGCTGCTCGGGTCCCCCTGGCATACAGTGTCGACTTATCTGGGCGCCTGTGCTCCTGTATGGCTGGCGTTGTCCGCTCAGTCTGTCTTGGACACGGCTGAGTCGCTGTATCGGCAAAATGGCGGTGGCAGAGCGAAATGGGGTTCGTCCAGCAGCTGGCTTGGCAAGGATACTGCGGCATCTACTGAAGTGGACGGATGGGGGTATGGTGGTGTTGTTGGCCCCGCTATTGTGGATGAGGATCGGTTGCGTCGGCGCAAAAGAGGCGCGGTGGACCTTACAGCGGAGGCGAAGGAAGACTTTGAGGAGCTGGGGAGAAAGTGCTGGCAGAAAATGGAGGAGCTGAGAATTGAGTGGGATAAAATTCTTGATTTGGATGAGGTAAGCCCTGATGATTTTGGTCTGGGGTTCTGATTTCCTAGAAAAGACATCTCGGCTTGTATATGATACGATAGATACCATGTCAATCTTCGCATGTAAATTTCTTGTACAAGGTGCAGGCCGTTCGCTAATCCCTTCTTTCAAAGATGCATAACTGCATTGTATTCTTTTGTTTTCCTGATTCTGCCTCCCATATTTACATTCCTTAAACCCCGTGTCCACATACATCATTAAGATCCGATAGAGTATTTGCCCAATTGCCCACCATCCCCTAAGGAAGCAGACACGGTGCAACAAAAAGCACGAACGTGTTAGCAAGACTGAAATGAAGAAACACAGGATTAAATGGTTTCAGAGCAATGTCAAAGATAGAACATAAAAGAAAAGATGCGACGCAAGGCAGTCGACGGGTCGGCGGCAACACGTAGTGAAGGAAACATAAGATTACTAAAAATCTGTAGAGGGCAGAGCTTTCGCCATCAAGGCATTCAGCACCTGCGTACGGTGGAGCAGGATAAGGAAATGGAATAAAAGATTATGCAAGAAGGGGGAAGGTAAATAGAAAGGTGTCAGGACCGCCGTGTATTCCAAGGATTGGTCATGGCCTTGACCCAGAAATCCTGTCAAGCTCAGGCCTGCTTGAAATCAATCGAAGTAAAAATAAACCGACTCCGGTTCCATGCATCGGGCGGCTTTGAGGTGCAGGCGACTGGAAGCAAAGTATTTGAGGACATGTCGACATGAGAAGAGAGGGTTTACATAATGATTGCGGGAACTGGTAGAAAGATTAGAATCAACACGCGTTGAACAAGCGAGGTGACCACTTACCATCAACGTTCTGTTTGATGCTCTTATGAGGAAGGATGGATCCACCATTAACATAGACTTCGTCGGCGATAGTAACGTCGTCACCCAGCACGGTGACATTCTCCAAACGAGCCCATCGGCCTACGGAGCTATTCCATCCGACAATGGTCGACTTAACCCAGGCATGGTCCTTGACCTTGCTGTTCTCTAGAAGCACACAACGCTGCAGACGAACTCCATCACCGACCACAACGTTGGGTCCAATGACTACATTGGGGCCAATGCGGCAGTTCTTGCCGATCTTGGCGGAGGGGTCAACCATAACATTGCCACCATACACGTAGGGTTCGGAGTTGGGCGCAAGTAGCTTGGAGTTGCGCTTGGCGAGGGAAGTGAGATATAGACAAGTGCCGCTGAGGAAGTCCTTCGGTTGACCAACGTCCATCCAAAAGCCCTCCAAGTCAAATGAGTGGAGCTGTCCATCCTTGCAAATAGCGGGGAATGTCTCCTGCTCAATGGAGGTCGGGCGCAGCTCAATGCGATTCAGCACACTAGGGTTCATGATATAGATACCGGCGTTGATACGGTTGCCAACGAATTCAACAGGCTTTTCGACAAAGCGGTCGATGCGCGAGGGGTGGTTGGGCTTGTGAACAACGACACCATACTTGGAGGGCTCGTCAACCTTGGTAACAACAATGGTACCTTCGTCCCCATGGTTCTTATGGAACTCAGCCAGCTCCTTGAAAGGATAATCACAGATGACGTCGGAGTTTAGAACAAAAAATGGAGAGTCGTCCTTGCCCAAAATCTTTTCCGCTAACTTCAGGGGGCCGGCAGTGCCCAGTGGTTCAGACTCGACGGAGAACTCGATCTTAACATTGTATTGTTCCTCATACTAGTTACGGTAAGCATGAGCATGGGGGCTGACTTGTTTTCGTGAACAAACCTTCTTGAGGGCCGAAACCATGACATCTGGACGGTAGTTCACAGCCAGGACAATATCCGTGACACCAGCAGCAGCCAAGCTCTCGACTTGGTGCAAAATCATGGGACGGTTCCCAAATTCCACCAGGGGTTTGGGAAGGGTCAATGTCTAGTTGAGCGATCATATCTGTCAGTAGGGGTTCGTAGGGAGCCGGTATGCTGTACGTCACGATCGTCGGCGGGGGAGTTGCTCACCAAGGGACGGAGACGGGTACCAAACCCTCCGACAAGAATAAGAGCTGCAATCAAATCAAGTCAGCAAAGACGAGTGGATACTGTACTGAGAGGAGCACATACCCTTCATGATTATATAGTGGGACGAAGTTAAGAGAGGGAAATGTTAATATGGTGGTATATTGTAGGAACCAGCGGCGACGGTTGTTTTGAACGAGTGACCAGATAAGGGGGGGGTAAAACGAAAGCAGGGGGAGGGGGGAATGAATTAATATGCAATCCCGTACGAGGGAGAGAACGATGGCAGTGGAAAGTGAAGATGGGGACTGAGATCAATCGGTCGAGGGAACGGCCGTTGACAGATCAAACGATGTCAACCAGAAGAAGAAAGGAGAAGGAGGAGGAGAGGAAAATAAAGATCAATTATAACAAGCAGTGAACACCTGGCGGTTGGAGACCCAGCATGTATGTATGGGAGATGTACCTGTATTAGATGCAACATTGTTTAGGGGGTGCCGGAGATGGTATGGTAAGGTATCAGGTACCACCAAAAAAGAGCTCCGCCTTTGCACGTTTGCAGCCAGCGCCACCATGTGCCGTGCTCGACGAATTACAGTACAGTATTGCCGGTACAGCCTCTGGGCCTAGATCTCTTTTGGGAACTCGGATCAGGTGCTTCGTGGGGCCATTACACCCCCTAAATTTAAGTACATCCTGTAAGGAGCAAAGCTCTTACCCAACATAATAAAAAAGGGGAGACATGCAAATTATGCTCCAGATGAAGGAAGGACGACTTTTTATGTACAGCATGGTGCTTATCCTGTGAACAGATGCAGATGCGGATAAAGTTTATTAACGTCCTGCAATCTAAGGGACTATAATTTCCCTACATAGCGTTGCACTAAGATGTGATAGGTACTACTGCGAAGAGTAAAGTAGTATGGATGTACACTTAGTACCTCGGGATCCTGTCCCTGTATTTCCTGATCAGCTGTGAGGAATCAAGTTAAAAATGCGCTCCTGGTGGCATTTCTGTAATCCTACCTTTACTCCGGAGTACATAGGTTAAAATACAACATACCTCCTCCTACAAAGTTGGTTCTAATTATAACCTCGACGAATCCTCTGGCGTATCTGGAGGTAAACTCGGCCCACGTTGCGTGGGCTCCCTTGCATCACCGCCTGCTAAATCCGTCGTGGTACTCACGAAACGTCTGATCCACTCGCGCACCTTTCTTGCTTTGACTCGCAGTAGTTCATCGTTCTTGGCTGTCGTATCATGGTTCATGAGACTCCTTGCACTGTACATACCACCCGCATCTGTTACGTCGACCCTCTGTCGATGAAGTAGATCGACTTTGGTGATCCCTTTCCTGAGACTCTGTCCGTAAACCCGTTCCCGGAAGGAGCTCAATCCTACCATGCGCAACAAAACAATGTCTCGCGGCCGTAAAGTCGCCAGCATTTTGCGAAGCTCATGGCTCTCGTCATGGTGACCTGGGGCGATCCTTTGTTCCACTGGGGGGAGCCAGAACGTAACTCCGAACCCGCTTCTTGTGTCATCTCCCACTACTATTTCGACAAGGTCTAGTTCGTTCTTCCATCGCCGCGTCACAATGCGACGCGGTGGTCGAATTGTAGCAATTCCGACAATGAGATTCACCGTCATGGTTTGTGGCACAATAGATGTCAGGTATGCAGCGCTCGGAATGTTTTGAAGATCTGTAACGCCTCCTTGGATGGGCAACTCCAACCCAAGGGATTCTTCTGTTGCAATAGAAGTCCCTGTGCTGTCAGCCCCTATGTCACTTTCTTTCGCGGAATCCTCGAGATGGACGCCCGGGGCAGTAATCTCAGCTGTCTCATGCACGGTGAAAGAATGGTCGTAGAACTGGGTGAGAGTTGAATCTTCTGGGGCAGTTGATAAGCTGCTAGGCGCCACAAGATCTTGAGTTGTAAAGAAGTGAGTGCCTCTATCTATGCCTAGTCCTGGGTTTTCGTCAGGTGCCTCCACAAGTCTCTCATCCTGTAATAGCCTCCATTTTACAGGGTTGGGATCTGTGAAAAGCAAATCTTCTCCATTGTGAATATCCGAACTCTGAAACGGAGAGATGGGTGCTGTGAGAAGCTCATCTTCGTTCCATTGGAGGCTTCGCATCGTGGGGGCTCCCATGAGAAAAATGATCTTTCTGGACATAATTGTGGGCGTTTAACTGGAAAAATGGCCATCAAGCAAGGAACGGTGGTGCTTTGCTTCTATAAATGACGAACTCGCCAGATGTGAATAGATTCCAGACTATGGATAACGGGAGCATTGAGATCAAGGGCTTAGTGTCTTAGTTATATGTCCGAAAACCACAGGCTTTGTGGTAATAAATAGACATTGAAGTAGTTGGCAATGACGAGGGCCTATTGTCCAGTGGTTCTGAAGGAACCGATCTGAACCATGGGTTGCTACGAAATAGACCTTCATGATTTTACGATACTGTAACATGGATTTCTCTGACAAGCAAGCATGACAAAATCAGAACTGAGAGGGCAAATTTATGATTTTAGTAAAAAGGATACAAAAAATATATTATGCCACGATATGACGCCAAAGTTGCTTTACGAAACCGGTCGCTGCCTGAGGCATATTAAAACCACGTGATTGCGCTCCCCCTACGGCCGAGCAATCAAGCCGAAGTGGCAACGTTCCGCCAGGTGAATTTCGCCGCCGCATCCACCGACGAAGGTGCCATCATCGTTATCGTTCATCCATCCGACGCTTTTATCTTAGCCATCATCTGCTCCTGATCTGGTCAGTGATGGCATTTGTGATCACGAAGAGATAACCCGCATCTCAACTAGTCTCTGTTCTCTTATATACCTCCGAGGGGTAGATCCTGCTCCGCGGCTTTGTGCCGCGCCTTCGGTCTACCATGGCCTTTCAACTTCCGATTCCTAAGCCTGTAAGCACCACCTGTCTTCGTGCTTATAGGACTCCTTTCTCTAACTCTCCGACTACCAACCAGAATATCTCGGCTGCGACATCGGATATCTGGCCTTCGATGTCAAAGCTTCTCAATGCGCCTTGGAAGAACGTCGAGCGCAGCCCTGCTACCTCCGGTCCCGCCGTCTCCCAGGGCCTCTCTCATCGCACGGTTGGGGAAGTAAGTTCAACGGCATACTTTCTAGGCCTGATTTAGCGAGGTGAATGGAACTTACTGACGATACTTTAGGGGTTGAATCATGTTTCCCTACCAGAGTTCCTCCACACGGTGCCCTCCGAAGCCTTCAGGCCGGGGATACATAGCAAGCCTGCGCACCATATCTGGTCACGTTCTTTCTCCAAAGGTATGCCTCTTTCTTCCCTTGTATCACTTCCTGTAAGTATTCTTAACACGATGGGCCTTTGTTAGAAACTACACCTTGGGCGGTGCCGTCTCTTGTCTCCCGTCAGACCCTTTCGCCGTCATTTCGTTCCTACTCAACGTTCACATCTTTGGACCGTCTCCGCCACGCGCCTAGTGTTATAGGGCTTTCAAGGTTGCAGCAACAGCGTTTTATATTCGGAGGACCATCCCACGGGTTGTTAGCGCAGAAAGAGAAAACCGCGAACAGCAACCCCAATAGTGCAAACGCTCAAAATGCTTTCTACCAGGCCCTTCTTCGAGCCAACATGCCTGCGATTGTTGTTGAACGGTATAAAAGTGGTCATTTTGCTACTAATGCTCTTTCGGAAGCGATTTATTTTAAGGCCTTACAACGTGTTGGTGGAACCGATGCTGCTGGATTGTCGGCCGCGGCCTCGGCCCAGGTTGGTAACTCGAATCTCAATTCCGAACAACTCCAAGCTATCGGACAGGCTGTTGCGGCTCAGAACCATGGCGGTCATGTCGGTGTGTCGGCAAAGTCAAACGGCACCGGTGCCAAAGAGGCTCCATTATACGTCGTCGTAGAGGAGTCGCTTGGCAGCGCCGTATTCCGATGGGTGAAGTTCTTGTTATATTTTGGCTTCTTCACGTACATGTCTCTCGTCTTGGTTACTATCCTTGTGGAAACTACTGGTGTTTTGAAGAATATCAAGGGTCCTCAGAACAACGAAGCTCAACCTCAGCAGCAGACCGTCCGATTCACTGATGTGCATGGTTGCGACGAAGCTAAGGAAGAACTCCAGGAGCTGGTTGAATTCCTGCTGAACCCCGATCGATTCTCCTCTCTTGGTGGCAAGTTGCCGAAGGGTGTGCTTCTTGTTGGCCCTCCTGGTACCGGAAAGACGCTGCTGGCTCGTGCCGTGGCAGGAGAGGCTGGTGTACCGTTCTTCTACATGTCTGGTTCTGAGTTCGATGAAGTGTACGTCGGTGTCGGTGCCAAGCGTGTCCGTGAACTGTTCACTCAAGCCCGAAGCAAGGCACCTGCTATCATCTTCATTGATGAGCTGGATGCGATAGGTGCGAAGAGGAACGAAAGGGATGCGGCTTATGTCAAACAGACACTAAACCAGCTTCTCACGGAACTTGACGGGTTTTCGCAGACCAGCGGAGTGATCATCATCGCCGCAACAAACTACCCTCAGTTGCTTGATAAGGCATTGACTCGACCCGGTCGATTTGATCGACGGGTAGTTGTTGATCTTCCTGATGTGCGGGGCCGTATGGATATCCTCAAACATCACATGAAGGAAGTCCAAATCAGCACGGATGTTGATGTTGCTGTCATTGCGCGCGGCACCCCTGGTTTTTCTGGTGCCGATCTGGAGAATCTCGTCAACCAGGCTGCCATCTTCGCAAGCAGAAACAAACAGGCAAAGGTTGGCCCGAGGGACTTTGACTGGGCTAAGGATAAAATCATGATGGGCGCAGAAGCTCGCAGCCGGGTTATCCAAGACAAGGACAAGCTTCTTACCGCGTATCACGAGGCTGGTCACGCTTTGGTTGCCTACTTTTCGCCCTCTTCTACGCCGCTTTACAAGATCACCATTGTCCCTCGTGGAATGGCTTTGGGTATAACCCATTTCTTGCCTGAGATGGATACGGTATCCAGAAACTATACCGAATACTTGTCTGATATCGACGTTTCCATGGGCGGCAAGGCAGCAGAGGAGCTTATATTTGGACCTGACAAGGTTACTAGTGGTATCTCAGCGGTAAGCCTCTGATAGCCATCATCATTTGGGACTATTTGCTAATCACCTGTAGGATATTCAACAAGCCACGGAGACGGCTTTCACCCTCGTAACGCGGTTTGGCTACTCCAAGAAACTAGGAAATGTCGATCTTTCCACCAACTATGACAGCTTGTCCTCTGAGACTAAGCAAGAAATCGAAAGTGAAGTTCGACGCCTTGTTGAGGAAGCCCGCATGCGCGCTACGAACATTCTGACCGAAAAGCGTCATGAGCTGGAATTGCTGACCAAGGCATTGATTGAGTACGAGACACTGACTAAAGAGGAGATGGAGAAGGTGTTGAAGGGCGAGAAGCTTGAGAAACTGGAATCGAAAGCATCAGCGCCACTCAAACTGCCCGAGGCCCTACAGGCGGCCAGATTGAATCCGTCCACCTCGGCTGAAGCGCCGCCGACGTCGACTGCGTCGGATGTTAATTAGGCGGTTCTTCGATTCCTCATTCTCCTAGTTTATAGGGAAACCCTCCATTTCTTACTCGTCCTCTTTTATAACTCCTCTCCGTTTGTTGTGTTAAGTGCATCAAGGATGAAGATCCTTCTTGGGTGCTTTCATGGACCTGTTTTTTGGGCCGTTATATTTTTAGTGTATCCGGTGTTAACTCCTCGTTTTCTTTGTATTTTTTCCCTCCTACTCGATATCTATCCTTGATGGAATACTAAATAACCGTGCATATGGCATATGGCATATGGGTTTGGGAGGTGAGCGACGGCAGGCGAATGATCTGGCTGTATTGTAGTGTACATACATTGGTATCAATGAGAAACTGTATGTTAACCTGACGTTCTATCCTAAGTATATCCAGATCTTGCTCGAGCATGCCTGGAAACTAGACCAACGATGGCTATCCGCGCCAAGTTACACCCCATGAACCAGAAAATAGGATTGTATGTCCGCATACTCTGTACTGCGATGCTATTATCTTGTCTAGCGTTTAACTGGAGTGTTTGGCTGCATGTCCCGGCCGCTTTCTCGGTACCGCCGCATTTGTGAGGCAGCACATGAGCGCTGTGTGAGTGAACTTGGATGCTCACTGATCACTCACGGAGCTACAAACTGTGTGCAAAAAGCCTGAAGAAGGGAAGTTCTCTGGGGCACGTTTTCCTAGTATAACGCTCGGCGTGCAATGTATCTGACCGAGCCCACAAGTTTCAAGGATCATGGAAAGTTGCTATTATTCGATTGCTACTCAACAATAGTGACGCTCTTCTACCTCGCAGTGTTTTAGGAGGGCGAAGACAAAGCAACGAGGACTACATTAGCAATAAGGAAAAAG